GATCCACATTCTGTCTCACGGAGCTCCTCACGTAGATGCCAAAACTTTTTCGTCGTAATGTCGTAAGCTCTCGTGAAAAAGTTTCCGCTTTTCACGGCAGGAAACGACGCGACGAAGTCGTCGTAGCCGTGCAAGTCGTAAATTCGCGATTTTGTTACCTCATTATTTCTTCGCGCAAGTTTGCGCTTCAATCGCGACGACGAAAGTCAGGCTCAATGCTGCCCCCATAAAATTTGGCCGATTGTCTTTACGATAAACGCGTGAAATCTTATTATCGATATATACGACATTACATACATTATATAATTATTCTAGATCGAAATTATGTTATTTTATAATATTATATAATTAATTAAATACAAACAATGGAGAAAAAATATACCGTGTTTTTATCATTCATATAATATTTTATTAGGTCAATTCTCTCATTGTTATAAAATACATTTAATCTCGGTGAAAAATCTGCTGCGGAGAGATGTGCATTAAACTCGATAGTTTTTTCTCGAGTAGCGTGTGTATTTATTCCCGCAAAGCTCCGCGTCGTTTTATACGTTATCATAGCGTAGATAGTCCGACACGGTACCGCTTCTGATGCTGTGTTCTCGCTTAAAATTTAATTCGAGCTCAAAGCCTTGGCTTTATGTCAGTTCGGCGGTCGTGATTGGTTGGTACCTAAGTTTAAGCTCATAGGCTTTGGTTCACTCCCGGACAGAGTGCGCGCGCGCGTATATACGCATATACGTGTGTGTATATGTGTATGCGTGTAGGCATTTAAGGGGTGTGTGACGCAGTGTACAGTAAACCAGGTCACCCCGTCGATGTTCGTAATCCGCCTTCCACAATAAATTTGCGTACGCCCGCGTGATTGTTCAAAACAATGTTGTTTTCGCGTGTGAACGTGCTCGTTGGGGCTGACAGAAATACGAGTATTCGCGAAAGATTTGTTGAAGCGCGGCGGAATCGCGCGTTACCTTCAACGCATTAATACTTGCCAATGTTAAATCGCGAGCGTAGGTATTTGTTTTTTTAGACTCTAAAAAATATATTGATCCAACAAATATTAAAAAAAAAAAAAAAAAAAAAAAAAGAAATAATGTAGTCGCAATCCTGAACGAATTGTGTCTCGGAAATTGAATTTGTAGAGAGAGGAGGGGATGTGTAGTTTAATTATATGGTAACGTAAGTAAATGTGATCAAATTATGTTTACAATAAGCAGGTTTAATCACGTTCATCGAACCGTAGTCATCGTAGAGGCGTATACGCGACAATGGGATTTGCCAGCGCAAGGACGGAGAGATATTATATAATCGCTAGATAATGTATTGCGTGAAAATTACACGGGGTACTCGGTTAATTTTAACGCTGGTGTAAACCCATTTGAAAGATCTCATTGCAGATACCGCGAGGCGATAATGTATGAACAGATTGCTTTTGTTTCTCTCGCCTCGGTTTATTTTCGCCTCTCTGTGTAGCGTTTTAGTACAAAGAATCTTCTCTCAATGTTTATGTACTATATGTATGCAAAGGTCCGGTCGTTCTACTCCATATTCCTATTGTCCTCGTGTTACTAACTTTACCTCGTTTTAAGATACCATGTATCGAATATACGCGCGGCGAGATAAATATCATTTCGCAAAATCGTGCAAACCATTTCTATAGTTACACGCGAATCGAGCTAGAAAAAAATAATCTCCGATACAAAAGTTGAATAATAAAAATACGGAAAATAATTTATAATTTTATATTCGAATTACACATTTAGATAACTCATAGTTACAACAAATACGTGTGTATAGGGGAGATCGAATTGAAGCGGATTTAAGGGCATTAAATTTCGCGACGCTGAACACCTAATTTTCCAAAATCGCGCATTGATTTCGGTCCGATTCGCAAACAAATTCTCACGCGGTCCCCGGGTTCGTTTGCGGTTGGGTTTTCCGCTTCTGCGGACAATTTGCGTATAATGATCGTAACAGCGTGGTCAAAAAGTTCGCCGCACACTCGACGACGGAGAAGAGGCGGGACGCGTCGCGACCAAACGATAATTTATGAAAACGTCACTTTCGACCGCGCGGTCCACCCGCGTCGCGACGCTCTCTCTCTCTCTCTCATGGGCGTCGTTAGCGAAGCACCGTATGTGCCATGTATTTACGCACTAGAGAAATCAATAAACCATGTCCTGGGGAAACGGGTTTAGGCGAGCGAGACGGCGTCAGACGCCCTTCGTGGCGAACAGAGAGGGCGCGAAAGGGGTTGAAACTGTGGGGTAACTCGCTCCCTTCGCACGCTATCCAGCTATTAGACAATGCAAACAGTATCATTGCCCTGTGATCGGCAATTTGGATCTCGATACAGTTCCTTTGATGAAACGCCTCGCCATATATCTTTATCGTGTCTTTTTTTTTTTTTTTTTTTTTTTTTTTCGTAATTATAATACATTCCAGGTTTCTCGTTTGTGTTCTTTTTTCCTGTTTCGAACCGTATTCATTCTCTTATCCGATATCTCTTCTTCTTCGTCTTCGTTCGAGAAAAAAAGTGCATTCGAAAAATTTTACGCGTTTCCGCAACTTCACATCGAGTTTTTATCCTCCCGCGATAACAAGATGAAAAAAAATTATAATTATCTTGTAATATCAGCGGTTTGCAATAATCCGATATAAGCGAAACCAAATAGAACGTGGATTATACGGTATGGATATTTATACAATGCAACATGTCAACAGTGTGAAAACGGAAGATTACGAATTTGCATTCTGAATGAAATGTTCGTCACTAGATGCAAGGTGTAACGATCGGATTAAAATACAAACGAAACGTGACAAGCGGATTATAGAGAGATGTGAAACCTATAAAAAAAAATTCACCGTTAAAAGTTGTTATAAATTAATATGTAGATATATCAAAATATACAATATTTCGTCACGCGACGCGGCACGAGATAATCGCCGAATCAGACGAATTTTATTATTAAGCTTTGACCGAAATTCTCTTATTTGCAAAATTGTATGCATATGCATTTCATCGATAACACATTTATATTCCGCTCCGCGAAAATAATTCTCGCGTTAATAACTCGCGATCATTAATAATTCACGCGTAATGAAAAGACCATGATAGATTGACACAGATCTTCGGAGACAGCGACTGGAAAAAACGAGAAACGAATCGCCATCTCGTCCCGTTTCGTCTCATCTCGCGTTATTAGTGCGAAGTTCATCGAGCGATGAAGCATCAGAATTGTTGAGGGTCGACGAAGGGTCGATCTTTAACGGCGGCTCTCTCGTTAAAATGCGAATACTCGATTTAACGTAAAACCATTCGGTTAAGTAAATATACAGCCAGCCAAACGAACGGCACGATTGATCGAGCGGAGAAATCAAGGCGATTTTAGGCGACACGAATCACATCTCGTCATTAACACGTGACTTTTATGCAACGCGTTCGAGAGAGTCACATGTATTAGGACGACAAAAGTTTTGATTGTGCGACTCGGCTGCGTTTCCAGACTCTTATTATCTATAGCGCGAACCGTGTCGCGGAAGAGTCAACGTTCGGTCTATATCAAATAATTTTGCAAATCCCAAACTCGCGTCGACATGCAAAAACAAACTTTGCAAAGTGACAAACTTGGCAAACTTCGTTTCGTGATTGCAGATCACGACCGGCGCGAGTTTGCGCGATTAAGCATTTACGTATTTCCGCATCACGATGGAGATTGCGCCGATAAGCTCAAACTTATTATGTTATTCCCCGGAAGATTTAGTTGGAAATCGATTTTTCTCTATTGACGAATCGCGAAACAAACTACACCTTCATCGAAGATTGATGACGTTCGGGGGCGTGATGCTGGGAAAACGCGTCGCGTGCATCCGTAGATGAGCGAAAAGACAAACACGGGACAAACATGGTGACGTCAGTGGAACAGATAAAAGAGGGAAGAGCGAAGGAAGGAAGAAAGAGAGATGGAGGAGTCCAACGAGTAGTATCGCGTAGCTACTTAAAACTTTCGGAGCTTGTCTTGTGTCCTTACTAGTTGGCACCTTGCTTACTTAGCTCAGGTCTGCAACTTACCTTCTCCCTTCTTCGTCGTTTCCCGTTCTTCGCTCCCTTCTCGCCCTTTCGTCCCTTTCCACTCCCACTCCGTAGCTTAAGTCGAAGTTTACCTTTGTTCCCGGCTGTCAGTCCGATATAGTTTCCGGCTATACTATCGCCGCTCCACCGTCGGTTGCATCTGCTGCTATGTACACCGCGAAAGCTCCCGAGTTGTAACGATATTAATCCGCTTTAGCGATGCATTTTCAAAAGGACGATAATCGGCGAAATCGTCGTCGCGTTCGTCGGCGATTCTCGGGGTGTCGTCGTCGCGCGACAGAAATTATACTTCGGTGTTTGGCTTGGAAATTTATGCGATATTCAAATACGACGACCCGCGAGATGCTTTATATCTTTTTCCAGAGTAGGAAATCAACGTAAATGGAGTGAGGCCGCGGACGAACAATTCTTGTATGTTTGCAATTTGCGTTTCAAACAAATCGTTCAAAATTATTGAATAAAATATACTTTGAAATTGATCCTTTTGTTTTGTGCACTAGGCTATACGTACGTATAATTCTAAATAGAAATTTTATTCGATGTCTGATTGATGATCATTCTCTTTCACGATGATACTTAAATTGTATCAAAAAGTATATATGAATATTTCTTGGGAAAAAAATATTTTAGATTATTTTGTATATTTCATTGTTATAATGGAAAGATATATATATATATATATATAGCAATATATCGCAAATTTTTTTTGCTTTTAATACGTACGTAAATAGATAAAGTTATAACATATCGAAAATGAAACATTTGAGAGGTACACGATAAAAGGTTTGCACAAAAATAAAATAAAACAATTATGCATGCATGCAATCTATAAATTTTTAAACAACAAAAGCTCTGTTGAGAGTAACATATAACATTCATAATTGCTTTTTTTCCATTTTTGTTTCAGAAAGTATAGGTGTTATCGCTGTATCGTGATGCATGCACAACATGCCAACGTGCTGCAATACAAAGAAAGTAAGATGCATTTTTAAATCTGTACGTATATCTTTAAGAGATATTTAGCTTCTCCTAAATTTAGAGTCTCCTAAAAATCTCTTGATTAAATCTCATTATAATCTTTCACATTCTAAAATACTATCTAATATTACTTTATCATCTCATCTTGCTTAATTTCATTTCTAATAATTTTTCAGAATCTCTCCATCCCATTCTCATCTATTTATTTTTATTTTCTTCTTTCCACCATCGACTGTTTTACTCTCATGTTAAAACTTGATTCAAATGTCACGTATCTCGAAACAATAAATGTTTTATGGATCTCATCGTCTCATTTGTATACGAGGATTACTGTTGCAACGTCTCGCTGTTTTATTAGCTTATTGCACGAGCGAGCCACCGGAACCGAGTCTGCAGACCCAATGCAGCATATTGACCAGCGACGCCACTCTGATCTCTCTGTTTCGCTCCAATGCAGCGCCGCTGCCCTGTCCCATTAAGGGTCCCTTGGAGTTCACGTACACCCACGGTGATATGGAGTGCAATATGCCGCGGTCACGGGCGGAAACGTGTACGCAGGACTCGCGTCTGCTTCTGCGCTATCAAGCGTGCGCCAACGTTCATTCGTCTGAAAGCGTGGGTCAGTATTCTCCCCGCGTCATTATTATTCTCCCCGTGCTGACACATGTGACAAACTCATTTTACACGAACGGGCCAGATATCAGCGATAGTGGCCGCTCGAACGCGGATATACGATCGCCTTTTTTTTTTGAGCCGTTGATAACTCTCTTCCATGTCTCTTTCAACACATGTCTTTTTTAATAAAATTATTCAAATTTTTATGAAATATCTTGAAAACAATATAGTTGATGCCAGTTTGGAAAGTACAGTTTAAAAAGAAAAGTTTTAAATGTGAAGAGAAGCGATGTTTTCAAATTAATGAATTTATATAATTCTTTTGAAAAGGGAATTTTCCTTTTCTTCACTAGATTTTAATATATACAATGTATAATAAATATCATACAATAGATAGGCACCATACAATAAACACTACATGTAAAACGATATTGTTATACCAACATGCATTGTATAATATCCATTTACGCGGCAATTGTGTTTACACCTGTTTACATACGCTCACAATTTGTCAAATGAATACCCAAACAATTATGAATTATACAACATGGCAGTCCAATCACTGCCTAGTGACATTTTGTTATTGGCCCATAATTAATTCGTTGCAATCTACGCTTATAAAGCGCTCGTTGAATATCTCGATATATCGATGCAAATTGCGAGGTATGCATGCCGTGGATGCAAAGTTTCAATTCGTAACTCTATTGTCATCGAATTTTCCCCCATTTCCACGAAATTTGAATATTTAAATTATTTTAATTTTATTTACCGTCGACTCTCTCCATTGAAAAATACATATATTTATCGAATGAATAAGAGTCTTCCCGGGAAGGTAGCCCCCGATTGTTTTAATTCCGCTTGAATCGCGAACGACAAGCAGCCCATCATCCGCGATATAAGTGTCCCGTCGACTCATCATTGTCGTCGAAACGCGCGAATTCGCGGCGAGTTTCGATGCGTAAAAAGGAATTATGACGTCGCGGCGCTTCCGCGGTGACGTTAACATCCAGCTTGACATTAATTAACACGACGCGCAAGGCCTGTAACGATCAATAAAGCTCGCGGCTGCGGAATGAATGATTAATGGCCTTGTCAATTACCATTTGTTGCTGGGCTTGTCCAAACGATTTTGCGCAATTATCATCGGCCCGAGTCCTGATCGTCCATCTCGATATACGCGAGCGCGAATAAATGAATACACGAGCGCGTTCACGCACTCGCGAATACGTCCCGTTACGTACGTACGCATAGTGTATAATGCGTTTTCATGAACATTCATATATATCGCGTTTATAACTTCTGCAGATAGCTTTATCCGCGGGACAATGTTTGGCAGTAAACCTCTATTTACGATTCGATTATTAATAGACTCGTATAGACGGAACTTTATTCGCCTCGACGAGATATACAGGTTGTCCTAGATCACTCGTTAATGGGAAATTCTTCAGGCGATTCGGAGACGATTTTTCCTCAGCGAAAATTTCCAATCATTCTCGAGTCCAATAATCATTTTCGAGTTATAAATGGTTAAAAATGAAAGTTTTTTTGTAAACTGAGCTTTGGAAAAAAAAAATATTAACAAAACTACATTTTTTAGTTAATTTCAGGTCAAGTTTACTTTAATAGAAGTTTAACCTAAGGCTTAGATACATGATTTTAAAAACTAGGAACTTTAACAAAATGATGACCTTTCTCGACATTTTCGCTGAGGAAAAATCGTCTCCAAATAACTTTAGGAGTCTCCCATAAACGGATGGTTCGGTTGGGACACTGGATAATCTCTCGCATCGTTGTATAACCGTCAGCTGGGGATACTTCAACGTATTATAGAATTGAACGTATTACAATTTATGTTTTCCCATTTCTCTGTAAACGTACATGTTACATACATGTACATACATCTCTCTCGCGCGTCTCAATACAGCGGGCCCCGCGTGTATTTTGATGGAATAAAAACAGAGAAAAAACAATGGTTATTATTGGATACATACCAATTTGCAGTTGTGACGGTTTGTTTTTCTAGACGTAGAATTGGAGTGCCTGGCTCATTGGAGGGAGGGCAGCACAAATTACATGGTCGCGCGTTTGAACAGCGATCGTAACGATCGTAAAACAAGCGACGAGGAGAGCTACAGATGCTTTATTTACACAAATCCATCGAACAACACGTGGAATCTCGCGCAGAGCTCGGACGCCGCTTGCAATGGATTGATCAGCGTCACCGAGGCCGCTAAAACGTTCAAAATGATGCAAAGTAAGTCTCCTCTTTTCCTCACAGCTTCTTCAAAAGGTAGTTGGAATTTTTTCAAAGAAAAAATCGCAATTTAAATATTGAAATGTATTTTTGCTGCGATTTATTATAAAAGGGTGTACACGCGCTATCTGAATATTAAGAGGACGTATTGATACTCGCGCAAAAATATTCAGCTGTTCGGAGAATTCTGAGCTAGAAAAATGGAAAGAATGATCCATTTTTTATTCCCCCCTTTTAAATAACGGAGTATCCGACCGTGTTTCCGGCGCGACGCGAAAAATCGAATTAACGATCGAAATTCTGCGGGAAAGGGCCGTTTAATCGATATATAGCGAGAGAGGTGGCGGATCGGCGCGTATAACTCGAAGCCGGTCATATACATATGTGGAGAGGTCGGCTCTCTGAGAACGAGAGCACGTAAACTATGAGAGTGCCTGCGGACACCAGATCGAATTCTTGTCCGGCATACTGTCATAATCCCCTCCCTCTGGCTGGTGGTCAACGCCAGGTACTTGGGGTATTCCATAGGCATCACATAGCTACACATAGCCTTGCCAGATTGGGACGATCTTGTAGCAGGATTCATGGTTAACCAAATTGAGGGCAACAGACCGGGCGCGTCGGTTTGATCACCGAGTCAAACGACGAGCGCAGTTTACGCGTCCGGAAGGATCGATATAAACCGAGTCTACGTCCATTTTGAGAAAGGATCTCTTATCGAGGGGGCCGAATAATCGAATAATCGTCGTTCGTTAAACCCGGGGATTTTCTATTAAAAAGTCCGTCCGCTTTTGATTTTCGCTCTCGAAGCGCGGGAAAGTCAAGCGTGTATAAATTGAAATAAAACTCGAGAGTGGTCTACGATTATCTCACTGTATTAATATCATTGTTATTCTCATTTATCGCGGATGTCGATGAATCCGTGTTATCGGAGGAATTACAAAGCTGCCGCTTTATATACGAGTATATTTCGAAATATATATATATATATATATATGTACATATATATATATATATATATAGATATGCGGCCGTGCTACTCGAGCAAATTCAACTCGAGCGTTAAGTAGCTTAAAAATTTTTCAGCGACGCCCTTGGCACGGCATCGCGAATGTTTCGTTAACCCCCTACCCCGATTCCTCGTTTCCATTTAAACTTTCCAGGAAGCAGATTAACCCCGGGATCTCGAGCTACGTCGAGCTTCCCGCACCGAAGTGCCCGCCCATGGATGAAGAGAACGCGTTTCAGCCGACGCGCAATAACTTCTATCTAGCCTAGCCGATAAATATTCACGTGTCCCCATTTTTTCTTCAACTGTTTCTCTACGTTTCTATTAATCCTCAAAAATGCATGCAAATCCGAGACACGATACTACTTAACTTTCAACAAGATATTATATATTCGATGATGATTCATCGAAATACGTTTTTTAATCTGTTTCGCTCAAGAGGAAATTATTAAAGACCGTTAGAGTTTTTCTTTTTTCTTTTAAATTACAGTTTGTACTCTCTCTCTTACGTTGCTTTAAAAATCTGCGATGCATTAAGAGATCATCTCGAGAAATATTGTATAGAGTAAGAAACAGAGAGAGCCAGAACAAATTTGCATAGCGGGAAAAGAAATACCGTTACGCGAAAAACCGAGAATATCATTGCATAGTAAATGCATACACATAACTACAAAATAGCACATATATACATATATAGAACATTGTAAATTGTAAAATAAATACTACATTTTTTAAATCTTTTTACATATTCCTGGCGTGGTATTGTTAAATTTTGTATAAGTTGTTTTTATTAAAAATGACGTTATTCAAGAAACTTATTTTTATACCTCATATTTTGAATAATTTTTTTATATAATAAAAAAATTAGATTTGATATGAATAAACATATTAAATTAATGCGAGAAAATCAAAGATTGCAAAGTGCTTTTTTTTCTTTTTTTTAATGATTTTCAGTATTAATTAATTTGATCGCTGTTGTAGCGCAACATTTTCTCTACGAGATATTATTTTCGCTATTTCTATTAAAGATTGAGGCTGCAGTTTTCAAATAACCGTTGCCGACATACTGCGGAATTACAATCTTTTCGAGGTAACGTAACGGCATTACATGCGGTCTGACTAAGGAAAGATATAAGGGGATGGGTGTAATTTACTTTGAACAAAGCATGCATTTCCTCTTCTATTTCGCCGCGAGCGTGACTCATTTTAATACGTATTTTGTTGTACGCTTGGTGCTCACATACGTTGCAAAATTTTAGTAAAGCATTAAAAAAGATTTTTTTTTATTTTAATTCGAAACTATTCGCGTATTTGTGAAATTTGTTTGAAACACAAAAATCGACGCTTAAAATACAGCTTTTTTAAAATGATTTTATTCGCTATTGCGTTTTGTGCAAAAATGCAAGGAGTCTAAATTTGCAAGATACAAAAGATGCTAATGTCAAAGTTATTCTGCTATCAACGTACACACAAATAATTATAAATATGAAAATTTCTTTTCCTCGTCATGAAAAATATTTTAAACAAATCAACTCAATTTCTCCACATATGTATATATATGTATATCACGAGAATATTACGTATAAAATAATTATGTTACGAAGAGCGAGTAGCTCTCGCAATAATGAAATAATTACGTAAAACTTTCCGGCCGTTTCTTTATCGCCATCGTTATGCCATTCTCTTATCATTGATGACGACGACGTACACGATAAGTTGCGTAATTTCGGGCAACTATAGTGTTACAACGCACGCACACACTCGATTGAATTATCGATTAGCTTTTAGTTGCACGCAGGTTGGATGCGGCGTGCACGCAGCATACTTTGTCGCTCGTGCATTTTTAACGGTCCATTAATTCACGGTGCACGGTGATTGATAACCATGAGCAGCCGACCATTGACATCGGAATAACTGTTCACTGGTGACAGAGCAGTCGACGCGTATTTATAACAAATTATTTTGGCGTCGATCCGACACGCGCGAACCAAACTTTTCGGCTTAACGTCTTCTGCTCGATTTCCGTCGGTTTTTTTTTTTTTTTTTTTTTTTTTTTTTGTAACGCGTAATATCGATATAATTTTTCCATGACATTCTACTTTACGTGTAAACGACGAATTTTAATATTTCAATCAATAATGTCGGGAACAGTGCTGGATTATTATCGCAACAATGCAGTGCATTATGCGTTGTAATGTATAACTTGTGCGCGTGTGTTAATGAAGCTAATGAGTTGGTTAATATACATCACATTTACGTGTGATGTATGTTATTCGCATGTAATTATTACGCTAGTTACGAATATAATGCCATTGAAAGCGTCGTATTGTAATTAACGCAGAATTCGGGATGAAGATTAGTTGAATGTCGATTCGATTTTTATTCGCTCTATGAAATTCTTTGACGGAGGGATGCAAGGACCTGATAAATGCACAGGAAACAGCCGGAGAAACGAAGTTTACAACATAGAGAAGATGGAGAGGTCAAAGTTTACTTATGCCGGATTATCTGCTCGAGGACCCCGTGAACTTAAAGAGTCGGGAACCTGCTTACAGTTATATTATGCATTTCGAGTTTGAAATAACTGCGTTAAGAGCGCGGAGTTACACAGAGAGCTCTCTAAGAATAAAGCCGCGGCTATTTCTTGACACGTAATTACATTCGCATTTAACAGTCGTCCGAATTTGCAATGCGGAGATGAAAATTGCAGGAATTAAACTGTTGGCGTTGCGGCGATAATCAACTTTGCAATTTCGTTTTTGTCGTTTTGCTTCAACGCTTTGAAAATGCCAAAATATTTTCAATAATCGCGAGCACCAATGAGAGAGAAAATTCCTAGAATTCTGTGCTTAAATTACATCACCCGCCCAATTCTGTCCTCGCTGTTAAAACCGTAATTGTTTTTGCGCTTTCAAATTTTAATCTATGTAGCGGATGAAATGAGGACGGATATTCAAGGAGATATCGCTACGAGAATTGCACAGTTCGCAAATAATTTCGATGTTTTAACCGTATGGAATATATCACACAAAAGCGTGAAAATTTGTGTCGCGGGGCGAAAATCTCTTCGACGACAAACAGAGATCCACTCTCACCATCCACGACCATCTTTTCACGTTACAGAAAAGCCACCGGAGTATTGCAAGTATCCGTCCTGGGTGACCGATAAATCGTGGGTGGCTTTGGATCGAATGGCGTCCCGGCTCCTGGCGTCGCCTTACAACCTCACGATCCTAGATCGAAACGAGACCCGCCTTGTTTGCCATTCAGCTGTCCCTATTGATGATCATCGTCATCATTATTCCATGCCGATCGATAGGGAGAACCAAAAGCAGTTCATTGCGAAGGCGACGCGAGATTGGTAAGTCTATTCATTTTATTTCTATATATAAACAGGAAAGAGTAGGGTAATGTGGGATAATAATTCAATATGTTACCGGAGAGATGTATCAATTGCGAAAAGTATCTCGAGTGAACTTTATCCTCTCCTCTTCTTTTTTCTGTCAATTTTGTGAGAAAACAGAAAATGATCGAAATATTTGTTATTATTAGAAGAGCGAAAAAAAGAAATGCATTTTCCAATTTGTGATAACGAGCGTAATTATCAGATTGGTAAATCTATCAATAATTTATTTCTATATACAAACAGGAAAGAATAGGGTAATGTGGGATAATAATTCAATATGTTACCGGAGAGATATATCAATTGCGAAAAGTATCTCAAGTAAATTTTATTCTCTCCTCTTCTTTTTCTGTCAATTTTGTGAGAAAACAGAAAATGATCGAAATATCTGTTATTATTAGAAGAGCGAAAAAAAGAAATGCATTTTCCGGTTGATAACGAGCGTAATCATCAGATTGGTAAGTCTATCCATTTTCTTTCTATAAATAAACAGGAAAGAATAGGGTAATGTGGGATAATAATTGAATATGTTACCGGAGAGATATATCAATTGCGAAAAGTATCTCAAGCAAATTTTATTCTCTCCTCTTTTTTTCTGTCAATTTTGTGAGAAAACAGAAAATGATCGAAATATCTGTTATTATTAGAAGAGCGAAAAAAAGAAATGCATTTTCCGGTTGATAACGAGCGTAATTATCAGATTGGTAAGTCTATCCGTTTTATTTCTATATATAAACATTTTATTTCTATATATAAACAAGAAAGAATAGAGTAATGTTGGATAATAATTGAATATATTACCGGAGAGATATATCAATTGCGAAAAGTATCTCGAGTAAACTTTATCCTCTCCTTTTCTTTTTTCTGCGAGAATTTTTTGAGGAAAAAGAAAATGATCGAAATATCTGTTATTATTAGAAGAGCGAAAAAAAGAAATGCATTTTTCGGTTTGTGATAACGAGCGTAATTATCGGAACAGCGAGTATAGGTAATACAATAATCGTGAGCTTCCGCATACATGTAAATGAATGTGCATGAACATCGAGAACCTCTACTTTGGTCCGTGCACCACTCAATCTTTCCTCGCCTCGCGATATACTATAACCGGAATGTCAATATAGGTCCATATACCCATCCAGGTTCTCTCATTAAAGCATTCGTGCGGGCGAGTTCGCGCGACGTGACGTATCGCTTTTAATCGTCCCTGTATCGTGTACGTGTACATGAGAGGCCCGGATTATTCGCGCCCCACTGCCGCCGAGAATACGATTCATCGTTAAAAGCTGGGATAAAAGTGCTTATTGGAACGTGTGTTTGCCGGACATATCCGCGGGAACAGCGTTAAAGTGTTTACTACTCGTCGAGGCACACGGAAGAATCGGCCCAGAAAACGCGCCAAGGCCGATTTGGATTTTTTTTTATTTTTTTATTTTTTCTCTTTCTCTTTTTCCCTTCGTTCATTCCGCAAAGCTGTGAAGCGTGTCCAAACATCCGTTGTTTGCCGAGCGAAGATAAATTTCTTACTTCGTTTCCATCCCGGAGGTGGTACGGAGACGGTTTAAAAGGAAATTTTCTTGATTACGAGAGAGAGGTTTTATAAACTCGGCTGTGTAAAATTATACGAGTAAGTTTAAACGATGGCGAATTCCTGCGCCTATCCGGAATATGAATCTTGCGTTTTATGTGCTGTACAATTTTTGATATATATACCTATATATATTATTACAATAAATATCTGATTATATAATAGACCAAATTAATGAAATAAAATGCAGACTGACATTCGATAAATATATTATACGATTACGTTGAACAGAGAGAAATATCGTACTATGCTCTCTTCATTTACCTATCCCGAAGAAATTCGGTCGAGCATAACTTCTCAGCGATTAATATCCTCACTTAGAAAGGTTCCGAGAATAATGTCGCGGTACGGGCGCGACAGCTGCTCGAAGAATTCCTTTACTTGGATATCACGATATTAAGATGACGTAGAGTGGAAGAGAGAGAAAGAGAGAGAAACGAGGGAAGAAAGAATTACTTTTCTTTGACATTAAGCTGCGTCTGATCGAGCGCAAAGCTTTACTACTTGGATGGCTCGCAAATAGGGTCATTTCGATTCACATTTTAATATCCTGTAATTCTTGTTTCCCATGTATAAGTAATAGCATCGAAGTACAATAATTACAATATTATATACCCGTCATATATTTATGAGAGCTGAGGATTAATTTCCGAATTATTTAATGTTCAAATGTGAAGAGAGACATCGCATTATTCGCATAAAGAAATATAATGTCTTGCTAAAGAAAATTTGGTACGAAATTTATTACACGCGATTATGGTTTGTCAGTAATGCAGGCGCTCTTAAAAATCTTACATTTCTTTTATCAGAGTCGTCTTGAGGAGATTTTTTTCTCTTTACGTCGCACACCGACAAATGCCAACAATAAAAAGCGACGTGCCATTTCCTCCGACTGACTTACATCTTATTTCTCGGCCGACGTTCTTCATTCCAAGGGGTTTTTTTATCCCCTTTAAAATTCTCGCAGCCTGATGCGCGGCGAATAATAATTATTGCAAAGGACATCAACGTGTTAAGCGTTTACTATTTCTCGCGAGGTTGTTGAGCGCGTAAAAAAGGCGCGTGAAGGAAAAAAATGCAATTTTCTCTCCTCGATTCGTACGTCCGTCTCTCGACACCATCCAAACACTCGTCTTTCATCGTTTTTCGATTTAAACGTTTCTTCGTATATAGCTCGCGCAACAACTCGGGCTTGGTTTTGTTACGTGGACGGAAAGTTCTCGCAAGAGCACGAAGACTTTCATAGTTTCATTGTCATCTTTCATCGGCTATAACCGATGCGTTTCCGTTATATACTCGCGGAAACGTCGAAAAAGACAAACGTCGATTCCGACATCTTTCGACATGCGCGAGAAAACCTCTTACATATTTCTCTCGTCGATTCGATTTATTCTCCGACGCGAAAAGGTGTAAGTAACGATATAATGAATCGGACAGTATATAATTATATATCCAAGTTTCTCGCTCTCTTCTCGCTAAGAATCGTCAACGACGAAAATTCTTGGAATCGAGCGACGGATGATTATGGTTAATCGTTTCCATGAAACCGTGATATCGCACCTACGTCATTATCTAAATGTCTAAACGATGTCGGACAAAGAAATAAGTGCATGACACGACTGCTGACATTATGCTAGGGAAATGACCTGCAATCTTCCCATCCATCGATCGCTATTTCTGTGCCTTGCACGGAACAATCAGCCGACCTTATATCGCATATATACATATATACATTCACGTAAGTGCAGAAGTGCCGCAGATATTACGCCGTTCGGGTATAATATTATGGTAATAAAAATATGATGAATACAAGCGTATAAATTTTTCATTATTCGATAGATAAAACTAACGAGGATATATACATTTTTCATGGGACGATGAATAATGTGCGAACGAATTTTCAGGTTATTAAAAAAAAATATAAAATAAATTACTCTTAACTACCGTTAATTTATATAGATTGCCTTTAACGCTGCTACGAAATGTTGCGAAAATCGTGCGGGAACACATATCATTTTCGAGACGTTGCTCGCGAATGCGCGCGAATTTTCGTTTGACGCCTGCCTCCAACGTACTTATATGGTATGTAAGTGTTCACCGGCGGAATTCTCCTTATTTCGCGAAATCTTCCCCATGCTGCTCTTCCTCGCGCTTTAATATACCCGCGATTACGCGCCAGCTCGCGACTTTATGAGAAACTCCGTCCGGGATCCGCGTTTCCTTGCTATGCGCGACAAGAAGATGAAGAGGGAGACGGCAGCGAAGGAGGTAGGGGTATTCTTTTATACCAGGCAAGCACAGATTTCGCGAATTCATATTTTCGTGACGATTGCGGAAAGAGGAACACGAGAAAAAGCGGCTCGTCTGCGGAAAATTACGCGATCGACCAAGATTCTCGATCGCGAATCAGCCGGATCTTTATATATCTTTTTAATATTGATCTGTATATATTTTTCACCCCAGGCAAGAAAATTCTAATTTTAACGATTGAAAAAAAAATTGTTAGTAATAGAAAAATAAAAATGATCCATTTTATTAACTTAACGTAAATACATAAAATAATGTTAACGACACATAAATGCCACGAATGTCGTAAATATACAGTCGGCAAAACGGTGAAAGAGAATTTACGAGAGTGCTCGGAGATTTGCTTTCCCGACTTTGGCGTGATCGCGATTTGCGAGAACGCCAGTTTGAAGAATGAAACTCTTGAGAGTGGTAATCGCGCTGACTGTTACAAGATTGAATATTTTGCGCCGATACTTCACACCACGACAGCTCTCGGCCGAACGTTAGCAAGGACTCGGTATTTCAATTAAGGCCAAAGCCTCGGCCCGAAGTAATTAGAGGCGAGTCGAGGAGCAAACGCGAGCGCGGGGCAAGACGATCGTGCATTAAACTGTAAATCTGAGAGCACTTATCGCGACCACCCTGAAATTGCATAGATAACCCGGGCAAGCCACGAATCTTTCCTTAGAACCGACTCGAACGGACGAAATCACAGCGAAAGAGAAAGAGTGAAAATTAAGACGTTGCGAAATCTAAATGTCTGTTGCAGTCTTCATTGAAATTACGAAGCGCATTTAATAAAATATGACAAGTCACGATTGATTTGTATATCAACTGTGTTCCTTTTAATTACAAAATGAGATTGAATTTCGTAATTAAATTTTTATGCATCGTATATATAATATATATCTTTCTCATTTTGTTTAATCTAATTCAATACAATGTGCATGTTATATACTATTTACTTTTTCTTACCTATATTCTTTTGGCAAAATAAAATCATGCAAATATACTTTTACTTATACATGTGGAAAAATTCGATCTATCTGTAGCGATGTCGGTAACGATTTATATGCAACTTGAA